CACACCTCCTACAGGGCTGCGCATTGTGTGATGGGACAATCTGTCTCCCAAAAGCTTTGAATTTAGGTCTAACTTTACTTGCCTAGTGGTTAGATGCACTGAATTCTCCACTCGTTTTCTTTCTGAGCACTCACGCAGAAAATGAGTTTGGAGATGAGCGTGCCACGTTGGGGTGCCCTGCGCTGCTGCCCTGGGCAGTCAGAGCAGCTCTGCGCTTGGATGAGGCTAGCAAGCAGGATGGAGAGCAGGCTGTGGAGCTGCATTATGCATTGCTTGGACTTCAATTCCCAAGGTGAACTCTGGATTTTGAATGACAGCTGTAAACTATGGCTTGATGTAACTCAGCACCTGTGAAAATCAGGCCACCATCCGTTTTTCACTTTGAGTCATGCATTACAATGAAAATCAACCAGACTTTTTCCAAATCAGTGCTTTTTTTACCAAGTTGACACAACACTGTGCTGTAACATGAATAATTCAGTCACATGCAGACCATCAACTTCAGGCACCTATTTAGGTTTTCTTGTGTCTAAAAGGTGACTACTCGGCCTCAGCAGAATGATTTTGGTCACCCACATGATGAGCCCCAATTACCTCCTATGCAGTCAGAGTAAGATCTAAATGCTTCTGAAGGCTTCCAAAAAACAAGTCAAAGGGTCTGTTGGGAGCACCACACAGCTGACCTCTAGGAGCACTTCCATAGGACTATTCACGGTCTCAGCACATGCACTTATTAATGCTGGTTTGTTGTTGCTACCATATGGCAGTTCCCAGAAAACAAATTAAAGAGTACAAAATCTTTTTAATTCTGTTCAATAGGCACATAATTACTTGAATGTTACTGACTTTGAAAGCATGGAGCTATGAGGGTGATCAGAGTAGCGTAACAGTTTTCCCGACGCCAAAGCATATTATTAAACAACAGAAAACACTTTTAAGAAAGGACACATGGTATTTACAGAAATGATAAATCAAGCCTGGTGCGTAACTTCTGCACAGAGCCATATGAAATGCAACTATGAACTCGTAAATTTTTTGTTAGTGACATAGAATGTTTGAGAACAGTGTAATTTTTAGCCCATTCATTTGGGGTGATCATAAATGACTGGAGTTTGCATGAAGAATACATAAATACTGTGACAAACAGGGAAATATCAAGACAATTTTAATGACTTGTGTATGCCTCTCTCCTATTTCTTGGTACTTGGTGATTTGCTGTGTGATTATATCAAAGACTGCTCTTCAGGAAAAAAGAGGAAGAAATTAAAAACTGGCAAACAGAAGACTTTAGCCCAAAGTAAATAATGTCAAAGATCGTAAGATAATGGTGGATGCCTCAGCAGTTGTGAAATAAACACTTTCCATATTTGACATGTAGGGTCAAAACACATCCTGAATTGTAAAGATGCTGGTATTAGACAAGGGGAATTGTTTCTGGATTGTCAGACTGGCTGAAACCCCTGCTTAGGGAGACTTGCAAGGGTGTATCTAGATCTGTAGTAAGAGCCACTTTGGCCATCATCAAGACCCGACTCATGAGCTGCCCAAGCAACAGACTTGAAAAGCCCATTTAGCTGGGGGTAGAGGCTCCTGGACGGAAAGAAGGACCTGTGCTAACCCTAGGAAGACCTGGCAGAGCAGTCAGATTCCTGCAGAGCAGCTGTTGCCTAAAGCTGCCCGTGGAGCCCACCTGGACCATGCACAGCACTCCGACGGAGACCATGAGATGCAGCCGAGGGGTATGGGGAAGGCTGCAGAGCAGATACCTGCAGGGCTAGGCATGAGCTGGCACTGGAGGGTCTACCCGCCCTGGCTCTCCCTGGGAACAGGCAGCAGCGTGGAGCAGGGCTCATCAGAGGCCATGGCTTAGCCCCGTCTGGGAACTGGCAGGGATTTTAGCAGCTGGAGCTGCTGAAGCGGCCAAACTGACCCGAACACAGCCCCGACCTCGAGGATGAACTCGAGAGGGACAGAAGAAATACAAGTACATCTCACCTCATAACTATGTCGTACACAACATGAGCTTCCACTGGAAAAATTCATCAGAATATGAACTTTGATTTCAGTGGGGTTTTAAGCTGGAATTTTTTTTTCCAAATTGTTACTCTGCATTTCCCAAACTTTTTCCCAAGTCTGCTCAGTGTTATAAAGAAACATGAAATTTTCCCACATGAATCAAACAAGGTTTATAGCTTTTCACAAGTTTTATTGACATGTGGTACTGAGTGCCTGCATAATGAAGGAAATTCATGTCACTGGGAATATTAGAAAGAAAAAAAAGAAGGTGATTTATTAGGAGACGTATCTCTTCGTAAAGCTGGCTTAAATTTATAAGAATTTTCCAGCGTCTGTCAAAAGATTTTGCTGATTTGTGTATCCACATGTGAGCAACACGGAATACTATAATTGCACCACGCTGTTCTCAGAACTGTTCTGCAAAGATATACGGCATTAAGCAAGCCCTTTTATTAATGATACTGTACTTGGCAAAGGACCCAGGAACCCTATCAGTGAAAGAACCATTTAGAAACATGTTTATCTTAAACTTTCAGGTTGGAGTCTCCTGTTTCACTGGGCTTACATAGTTGTAGCTCTTGTGATCTTGGCAGAATTATTCCTAATTTATGCAGCATAACTGAGTAGATTCAAACCTTAGACAGCCACTGGCAATACCAGTAGCATAAAAAGTTCTGGTTTTAGTGTGGTACTTAGAAATGTGTTGGGAGATTTCAGCACTGGGAGAAGTAACTGGAGAGGCTGATCCGACATGACACCTGGAGAGTTAGTGTCGAGGAATACTTAGCACCTTCGGAGGTAGAGTTTTAGGTAGTTTACATACCTATCAAGCTAAGTACATACTTTATTTTAGCTAGTGACATTTTTGAGCAGGGATCCAAATCTGAGTTATGTAGGATAGGTGGAGAGATACATTTTTTATCTATAAGATAAGCTGAGTCACTAGCAAATCTCATGGAAGTGGAGATTTTAAAGTTTTGTGTGAAAACTTCACTTTTACAGTGTTAAACTGAAATTTTTTTAAGGTTGCATTTAATTGCTTCACATGTACTTGAAGATTTTATTAACTTGGCTGTAAACCATCTTTCTTTCTATATTAAGTTGATCTGTCAAAGATAAAAACCCCTGCTCTTCAAAGCTGCAGTAGATGTTTCTTATGGATGTACCAGTTCAGCAACAGTCAAAAAAGAAAATATATTCTTGAGTGTAATGGACAAGTAAGAGTCATCAAAATAAACTATTATGGCTAAATGTTAAATCTGTGAAGACAACAACACAGCAATACCAGTTCCTGAAGATGCAGCCTAGGACAATGCTGTTTATTCTAAGATAGCATTCCTATTAGATTTAAAATGTACCATGAAATTTCCGGGCACTTCTGACTAACAAAGAATATTTTTCATCTTTGATTTACAGTCTTTATGAAAAGGGAACTTGCAAAAGATGTCCTGCAATCATTTGTGTCTGATTGTGCTTCAAATTTGCTCATAATAGAAGCCCCTGAAATGGTTTACTTGGCAGTGTTTCTGGATGACTAAGCTTGTGTTTTAAATAACAGCATGAATGTAGGTAGGGACATAGGACTAGGGAGAAATCTCCTCTGTTACTGAGGGTTACTGAATCCCATCATTTTTTCCCTATTTCATATGTCACTATTTCATTTTACACTCTATGAAGCAGAGACACATGTTGAAATACACTGACCTTGAGTGAAATTCTTCACCTGGGCACTTGGACTTTATGCAGGTGAAGAGAGATGGTTTGGGGGGAAAAAAATGCCTACCCTCAAGACAGATTTCACAGAATCACAGAATCACAGAAAGTTTTGGGTCGGAAGGGACCCCTAGAGGTCATCTAGTCCAACCCCCCCCCGCAGCGAGCAGGGACACCGCTAACTAGATCAGGTTGCTTAGAGCCCTGTCCAACCTGGTCTTGAATGTTTCCAGGGATGGGGCCTCCACTACCTCTCTGGGCAACCCATTCAAGTGTTTCACCACCCTCATTGTAAAGAATTTCTTCCTTATATCCAGCCTAAACCTACCCCGTTTTAGTTTAAAACCATTACCCCTCGTCCTGTCACTGCTGTCTCTCCTAATAAGATTGTCCCCATCTTTCCTATAGGCTCCCTTTAAGTACTTCAAGACATATATGACATAGGGGCATTCACTGATCCTGCTCTTCTTGCTCCCTTCCCGCTCCAGTGCGTTTTAGGTTTGTAAAACCTTCTTGGTCATGCATCAGTCCCTGTTTTCTTGTGTACTGAGGTACACCGGGAACTTCTGAGATTTCTAGCTAGTTCTCAAATGGTAACTGCAGAAGGTGTGTTAGGAAAGGGTGAAGGATTCATTTTTTGGAGGCAGATAAATACAGTAACTTTGCTTAAGCTCCTATTGCAAAGGAAGGCTGCAATATCTGTATGGCTCTGAGGTTTAAGGTGGCAATTGACCCGTGACAGATGTCATTCTCTGTTCATTTCTGGCAAAAAGGTACTTCTTTTATTTTCACCTGTAATAAAGGGCTGGATCATTCCACAGCCTCCTTAGTAAATGAAATAGATCTTTTGCTTTGTCTTCAATGTCAGATTGATCCATAGTGGTAAAAACCCAACAACTTAATACCACTTCACCATCTTTTGATTCTGCCATTACATCTGTTAGCTCATCACTTTCCCTTAACACAGAGAATGTGATGAAAAAGAGTGAGACAGCAGGAACAGACATAATGGTACTAAACTATTAATTTGTTTGAAAAATAACAGGGCTTTCTTCCTTTCTAACTCCTACTGTTTACACTGGGGACTACCCAGGCCTTTCATGACAAGCACAGACACAGACAAGCGCATCATGCAGCTTGTAAACTGATGAAGCTCCGTCTTATTTGATTCATAGTCCTTATTTTTCCAGAACCACTGTGCAGGCAGTTAGAAAACACTAAGCAAGAGCTTTTTAAATGCAGCTTGTGTAGTCTGCTCTTGTATTTTGCAGCTGACACCAGTCTTGGAACAGATGATGTTTATGATGATAAAGGGTGCCAGTGTGATGTGTCAGTAGAAGATCTCACCCCTGCTCTTAAAACTGTCATCAGAGCAATCAGGTGAGTAAAAAATACTGAATGAGTATATATTTGAGCTTGCTTTATTTAAGATACTAATTAACTGCATGTCAATTAATAAAACTGTAGTTAGTTGAACTTACTATATGGCTATATTAGTTACATAACTAATGCTAATATAGTTTAGTTATGCTTCCTTCTCATCAGTATTTTATTTGTTAGTCAAAATATTTTATCTGTTCTATTATCAGCTTTTCAGTGTCAAAATATGTTACATGATTTGACTCAGAAAAGAAAGATAGTAATGAATGCTGGTTTCTACTATATTTCCTGTAATCCAAAATACTGTAATCCAGTTTGGTGTGGTTTTACTGAATGCGTATCACCTTGCCTGGAAAAGTTATTTCCTTTAAAACTTCAGGATTTTATGGCATTTCCAGATTCCTGAAACTGTCTGTCATATGACTGTTATTGCAACTTTCTTCTGGTAACAGCAGAATAACTACATTCATTCGATTGCGCAAAGCCTTGCCTGCCACTATCCACTGAACTAAATATAACACAAATAATTTAAAACTAACAGTCTTCTTCTCCAAGCACACTGCACTGAAACTTATAAAATTACCTCTATTGAAAGCTTAAACTTAGCATTCACCCTCCTGAGACTCCCACGGCTCTTCAGCTTCCTGAGTATTTTGAAGCACAAATCCTGACAGGTAAAATCCCCACCACAAAGAGTAAATCGACAAGCAAGGGGAGCTCAGGCGTTCCCTCTCTGCCAACAGCAAACCCAAAGTTATGCTGGGCGTCACCCCACGGGCTCCGCATCACAGCCACATCAGTGCCCGGCACCCTTCCTGCAAGCAGGCAGGCAGGCAGGCAGCACTCACAGGAATTTCCTGCAAAACCTGATGGGAAGATGATGCAGGGAGACCCTCGCCTGAGTTTTCTCAGCACTATGGGAAGAAAGAACTCAAGCTGTTTATCAAATAATTTAATCCAGTGATAGCCTATGGGCTGCCTGTATTTCCTTCCCCTTTTTCCACTGATTACCAATGAAGACAGATAGCGAGTAAGGCTGTTTCTAATACTTTTCTGCTAGCACAGACAGCTTGACAGATCGCTTGCAGACATCTGTTCCAACCATTTTTCCAACTGGCCTGGAAATGACCTTGCAGGACGTGTCAGATACCAGGTCCGTGTCCACAGCCTCGGCAACCGGCAACTCAAATGTCACCGCTGAGAACCATCTCTCGCCAGCAGTGTTTCAGCAGGCGCAGAAGTCATTCCACACAGTGGTCACCCACCTACAAGGCAGGCCTATTCCTTCAAATGGAAAATGCTCAAATTAGGAACAATCAACACAATTCGTTGGCTCTGGCACCAAAGATTCTTGTTTGTGTTGTCGCATTTTAAACAGACCGGTTGACATTTGGCTCCGAGCGCACCTTGCCACTGTATTGGCAAGTGATCACAGAACGTTCGGGGTTGGAAGGGACCTCTGGGGATCATCTGGTCCAAACCCTCTGCTGAAGCAGGGTCACCTACAGCAGGCTGCACAGGACCTTGTCCAGGTGGGTCTTGAATATCTCCAGAGAAGGAGAACCCACAGCCCCTCTGGGCAGCCTGTTCCAGGGCTTAGTCACCCTCAGAGTGAAGAAGTTCTTCTTCATGTTCAGACGGAACTTCCTCTGCTTATGTGATACCAATGGTCATCTCATTTGTAATACTGACCAAATTCCTTAGGACTTTCTTGACATTTTAATACTAAAATCATAGCCACCACTGGATTGTTCAATGCATCACCTGCGTTTTTACTTCGTTCTCTTGGTAATGTGAAGGACCTCCTTGGCAAACTTTCTCCACAGTGTTATCCACAGAAACATTCTAATAAGAAGAGCAAAGATGCAACAACGTGCTTGTTTCAGACATGCACTATTTAAGTGACAACAGTCAGCTATTCAGATTATCTCCAACTTTTTCTCTGCGCACTTGACTTATCAAAGAACAACTCATTTCACCACTGAGGTTGAGAATAAGAACTCTGCATCTCCACTTGCTATCATTTAGCCATGAATCTCTCCCACCTCTCCCTGCAAATGTTAGTGTTTCAGTAGATTGCAAGCAGCATCTTGCTTCGGAAACATACCTTTGTTTGAGATCTATAAAGCAGTAATATGCAATGATCTTCAGACTTTTGTTAAATGCTATACTTTAATCTCTCAAAATCAAGAGAGTGATAATTCAGTTCATCAGGTAGTTGATACTCCTCTTTCTGATTATTCAGAGTGTCTGTTACCTGACTACACTGGGATCTATGCAAACATCTGAGGAAGGATCTGAGACACTATATAGTAACCGTAGAATTTCAAGATGATAACATCTGCCTATATGGAAACTTTGTGCCTCATTTTGAAGTTTGTTTTTAGCAACAGCTTTGAATTGCAAAGGCACTGGGGGAGGGTGGAGGCTGGTTTTCCTTTCATGCTGGTGTACAGGAGCAGATGAAGACAGAAGGTACTCAAATAGCTTCATGAGACGTTATTCAAAGGACCCAAATGTAAGCATACACAGTTGAACCCATTCTGGCTACATCACCTTGAAAAAATGCAGTAAGGGACGGTATTTTTTCCTGCTTAGAACTGGGTACAAATTATTTTACAATGATAAAAATGGTCCTTTTTCTTTTGGGGAAAAAATGAAATTGGCAAAACTAATCCATGCCTGTGGGTTTACAGAGGCAGGACCTCTCTCATTTTTGGAACCAGAAAGGACAGGGTTTTTTTCTGTGAAAGGAGTCTAGAATATGCTGGTTACTCTCAGGTTGGACAGCCTCGAAATAGCAAAAGACAAAAACTGGGTTAGTTTCATTTTGGTAATTTCAAATTGCATTGCTTCAATTTTGACCTTGCTTATTTACATCTTTCCCAGGACTACCTTATTATTCAAAATAACTTTATGATTCTAAACAAACAACCCCCCCAAATTTTCTTTTTGAAATGGCCAGAACAGGAAATGGAGAAAATAGTCCTTTCCTGAAAACCACTTCAATTTTTTAACACATCGGCCTTTTCCAAAAATAGGACTCCCAACCAGTCCCACTGAAGACCCATTGGGCAGAGCTGCCTGGTGGCGTGTCAAGCTGTCAGCCTTCTCTCAAAGCCCCTCAAGCTGAGTCTTCCCCACCCCAGTTCTTGTGCTACCCCCCCCACCACCCCTCTTACTACAAACTCTTGGTCGGGAAAGATCGACTGAGGCAGCAGAGAAAGTCAGGAAAAGCCACTCGACGCATTCGCACCGTGTCGGGTGAGCAGGGAACAGATGGGGGTAGCATGGTGAAACGTGCTGTGCTCCGCAGCGTGCCTCGGGCCGGGCCGGGATCAGCCCTGCTCCCCCGCAGCCTCCGGCTGGGATCCGGGCGGTGCACAAAGCCGTTCTTGCCGGTGGTGCACTGAGCCTTTGTGCCAGTGGGTTTCGTAGCACTGCTCAACCAGCCCTAGTCGTGTTGTGAACAAAGAGCCATTAATACCCTGCAGAGTTCCAGGAGACTAACAGAAAACATTGCATTTTCCAGCTCTCTTAGTTCACAATGACAAATGTATATAAAAGAAACTAAAAAGAAGATGAGGCTACCTTGTTTCCACATATTTCAATATTTCTTATCCTTTTTCATAGCCACAGACACCAAATTCTGTAATACTCTCCACAATGGAAATGATGGAATAATTTTAATATTTATGGAATACAAAATTAGACTTGAGAAGGATAAATAAACATTCAATAGGAAATAACTGCAATGGCAGGAAGATGAACTTGCTGACCTAAAAGGTCTTTTCTCTCATTAACTCTGATTGCATAGATATATTTTCATTTGTTGTTAATAAGAAATAATAATAATAAATGTAGCTAAATGCAATGCAACCTGAGAATTGTTAAGCTGATAAGCTCTATAGTTGAATAGTCATACATATTTAATAGCCAAAGAAGGAAAATATAATTTACCATTTATGTGCAGGCTTTGAAAAATTTCTGCTACACCTATAAAATGTATTTTTAGCAGCCATTATGAATTTGTTCAATGACGGTGTTTCAGAATCACAGAATCACAGAATCACAGAATGGTAGGGGTTGGAAGGGACCTCTGTGGGTCATCTAGTCCAACCCCCCT